CATTGAGATTAAAAATCTCTTTTGCAAGGGAATCCTGACCGAGACTAGCAATGGTACACAGAGGTCAGAACATTCACAGCAAAAATAGAAAAAAGATTACACTGCCATAGATTTAGTAAAAGATTCCTCAGTTGAAACATCTACAGGCAGATGATTCCTTCCCATAATCAATAAGAACAGCCTTAAAGATATTTAGTGACAACAGCAGGTTTGTGTATCTCTGCAACTGGTTCCAAGAGGATGGAGCAGAAAACTGAAAAGATTTCTTTCCGAGTTCAGTTCAGACTTTACATAAATGTTTTTAACCTTAATTACACTTCTATAGTTGAAACAACATTGTTACTGAATGATTTGGAAACAGTCTAAAGTGCACTTTCCACAAATTTTATTCTTATCAGTTTTGCACGCTGTGAGCTGCATCTATATACGCATCTCTGGAAACAATTACTTCGATTTCTACCCACTTGTTTTGTAATTGTTTTGATGTGCATTTTCTGTTTTCAAGACGTGTGACTCAAAGTTTTGTCCTTATAACGCTTTGACGTCTTTATGATCAGTATGCTACCTGTTAAAAACATCTCCATTTGTTTGAACTTGGTCCAGATTTAAGACGCAGTTTACTGGGAACAAATTGTAGTCTTGAGTCATTTCCTAATGCTTTACCTTGCCAAAGACATTTCACCATTGTTTCTTTTGTTTCATCATGACATCTGTCATGATTATGACATCTTATTTTTTTTTAACTGTTTCCTTTTACTAGATGGTTGGACTTTTGAAAAATGTAAAATTTAAAGGGATCCATGATTAGTTGTAACAATAGACTTTATTTGATAAACATATAAAATAAAGACTGTAAAAATACTGTAGTCTGTTTAGTTTTTATAATTTTTAAACTAAAAGTTTAAAACTATATTAAACAGAAGGGGCCGTTTTATTTACATACAAAGCATTCTGGGTAAATGATGACATGGATAGGTCATCGATGTTAGCGAGCTATATCCACCCTGAAGGTTAATCTTGGACAACATCTGACGATTGACTCTTAAATGAAACCAGAGAGCGTTGACAGAGAGGAGAAGGTAGAAATGACAGCCTGTAACTGAAAATATGGATGGAGGACAACAGAGCTGCTTCATGGAAGAAGAACCTCATCTTAGTCTGCTAGCCTTTGCACTAGCGTGGATGCTATATTGCCTTATACTGTATGTATTAGCTCAGCGCTACACATTCTCCTCTCGTCACTGAGGTCCTCCATCCACATGACAGAGAAGAACACAAAAATGACTCAGCCTGTAACTGGAAATATGGATGGAGGACCTCAGTTTAGCTTGTTTGTTTGTTGTGCTAGCATCGACCTAATACATATAAGGCAATATAGCGTTGGCGCTAGCGAAGGCTAACAGGCTAAGCTGAGGTTCTTCTTCCATGAAGCAGCTCTGTTGTCCTCCATCCACATTTTCAGTTGCAGGCTGAGTCGTTTCTGCCTTCTCCTCTCTGTCAACACTCATACACAGACATGGCAGCCAACCGATCCAATCGTTTTAAACTTCAACAGAGGCCACGCCTCCAGCAAGAATCACTTGGCCAAGAGTCCAGACCCTTGTGTGAAGCAAAGCGAAGGACAAGGGGCTGATTTTAACTAGTCTAATTAAAAAGCTATGCTGAACTGAAAGTAACGAGTACTTAAAAACTTCCTAGAAATGAAGTGGAGTAAAAACTCATAGTACCCCAAAAAATAATTACTCAAGTAAAGTAAAGATACTCAAAAAATGTAGTACAGTACTTAATGTACTCCACTACTGTCCACCACTGGAAATGACCTCAGAGCAGCCACAGTAATTTCTGAAATTGCAGATGTTTGGTGTTTTTCACTCAGGCCAAGGGCTTGCATGAAATGATGTCATCAGATGAAATAAAAAAAAACTTTTTAAGGACGTTGTCCAGCTGTCATGAAATAACATGCTACCACAACTATGCAGGGTAGTCCCTCATCATAGTTAGCAAATTCCCCAAAAGACGTCATTGAAATTGCATTTGGAAAACCACAATCTATTTTTAGARGGAATAAAAAGTGTTTCAAGCTGTTCAAGGGCTGATAGATTACACACAGGCTAGCTGCAATGTAAAACGTGATTTAGAGGTGTTTAATGTGTGGGACAATAGAAACTGATTTAGAAGGAAAAAAATGTCAGGGAGAAATCTTAGATCATTTCTCCCTCTAAGTGCAGGGACAAAGTTTCCTCTCATGATGGTCAGAGACAATAAAAACAGACTTCACCACAACCTTTGCATTATGAGGTCTCCTTGAAAACAGAGCAAAGTGCAAAAATGATAAGCAAGTCCTGGATAATATGTGTCACAGATAAACTCTAGTTCAAACATGCACAGCATGAGTCACTCAACAGTTACAACTTCACCAGGAAGCCTGATTATTTTTCACTCAGTTTATTGTTTTATGAATAAAACAAATACAGAAAAAAAGTAAAGGTCAAGACAAGTGTAAGCAGACAGATTATATAAACAGAGGTGTCAAGTAAAGTTCAAATACTTTGTTACGTAAGTGGAAAATTTAGCTTTATATTTCAGACAAGTTTTTACTCCTTACGTTTTAAAAATGCAGAAAGCAAAATAATAAATTGTGTCAGGTGCAACCCATCAAACCGTGGCAGGGATTTTCTAAATGCAGCTGAAACATAGACTAGTGCATCCCATATTATTCAACATTTAATAWAACATTACATTAATTATGGCCTTTAGAAAAATGTTTTTATCCTTTTAACTTTTATCCTCAATTGCTTTTTTGCCTTTACATTAGGTTTTGTTTCATAATTTAAGTAAATACTATATAAACACAGTACTTTTATACTTGAGGAAAAAGCTGGAGATGATACTTCAACTGGTAAAGAAGTATTTTTAAATCCTAGTATCTATACTTGAATAATAAATATGAAAACTTTGGACACCTTTGTATATCAAAGATTACAAAGTGACAATCAAGGGTGGATTGGT